TCTATCTATCTATCTATCTATCTATCTATCTATATATATCTTGTGCACACGCACATGCGGGTGCATGCACACACCAACAGAAAAACAAAAACACACGGGAGAGGTCCTGAGCAGTTTTCCTTCTGGTCCTTGCATGCTCTGGCAGCTTTCCAGGGGGTACCAGCTCCGATCCTCCACTTCATTCACGTTTCTGGGTCAGTGATACATGGGAAGTATGTCCTTCTCTCCCTACCTTCGCCTTCGTCTGAGTACCTGCCCTCTTCGCTGGGGAGACATTCTCACATGGAATTGCTAAAACTAGAAAACAATGGCCTATACCCCTAAGACGAAAGGGACCTCAGACCTTTCTCTCTTTCCTTCCCTTTCACTGCTTCAGAAGTCCTGATGGTCAGTAAGACATTGACTGCAGAGGTTGTTCATTATTCGCCCTTTGACTTTAAGCTACTGGATTTTCTCGATGGCCTTGACGTCAGTGCCTGTTTTACAACACCTTTGTTGCAAGCATAGAAGCAACCATAGAAGACCACGAGCAAACCAAAGACAGAAATAATCTTAAATGTGAGCCACGAACTGCTAGACTTCACCGTTCTTCCCTCCGAAAACAATTTCCGTCTGCTGTCACAAGTGTGTGCTGCACAGAATTGCCTCATGAAAAACTCATTTAACCGCGCTGACGCGGGGCCACCATCCAACGGAAAGCAAGAGAGTGCAATCGACTGGCAACGGTGGTACCTCTTTTCCATGACCTGAGACTGGCATTTCCCTCTCACAGTGGCACCGTCTTTGTTTGCCTCCCATTCGTTACAATGAAGTACATCACACATGTCCCCCAGGCATACTCCGCCATTTACCACCTTGTCCTTGTGGCGGTTATCCATGTGTTTGTCGATGTAGACTTCCGCATAGAATCCTTTGCCACAGTATAAGCATTTCCAGTCCATGCGGTTGGACCCGCTCTTGTTTCCCTCTTGCATGTGGAACATGTCTCTCGCAGGGTTAAGCAGACATTTCTCCGAGAAAGCGTACGCCCATTCCTTCTCCACAACAGGCAGAAGATACTCAGAAAGAATCGACCTCGCAACTCTGCTTTGCGCTCGGGAGCAAAACTCAGGGCCCTCACCGTTTGGCCTCCGGGAGGTCGCCGGCGGTGGATGTGCACTCAGTCGAAATGCGGCAGCAGAGCTGGTGAGCAGGTGATACCCAGTGATAACACCTAGTGCTAGGAGACAGATGCACCACCTTTGATGACCGTGAGCCAGAGAGGTTGGGATTTGTCGCCTTTCTAGTCCCACATACAACGCATCCATAACCCACTCACATCTGCGTCCCCTCTCTTTCTCCATCTCCATGCCTCCGTCCGGAATGCCACTGTTCTCACACTCCACGCTCTTGCAACTCCGTCACACCTTCTGCAACTCCGTCACACCTCCCTGGATGACAGTATCGCTACCCCAGAAGCTATCACTTGCGTCATCAAGCATGCAAGGGGCTAAACGATGCACAGGTTGACATACTGCAAGTGAAAAACACAATCCAGGGCAGAGGGGCAGTGCACACTTGGGCTGAAGCACAGCCAGTCCCTCAGAACTTGACAGCAAATGGCGCATGGGTTGAAATCCTGCAAAGTGAGGAGCAGAGCACACTTGTTGAGGCTGAAGCACGGCCAGTTCAACAGTTGAGTACGCAGCTCTGGCGTCAGGGCAACTGTGGGCTTGCAGCATAGACCCAGCAGGCCGGCAAGTCTTGCAGCAGCAAAGCAGGTCCTCCACACTACTGGCCCAGTCCAGTCATCAGATCAACAAAGGAGAAGTTTGACGGTAAGGCTGAGGATTTGTAGGCTGGCTCGTTGAGACCAATTGCATAAAAGACTCTCCTTCCGCAGCTTTCTTTCAACCATCTCCCTTTTCTTAAGCAGCAAGTGTAACTTTCTACCAGATGAGAATCACAAAGTATGCTAGAAAGGAGCACACATGAAGAAGGTAAGCCGCGACCAGAGAACAAAACAAAGAGAAGAGATAAAGGCAACACAAAATAGAGATGGGAGACTGCAAATGCACCCTGAGGCAAATCCAAGCGAAAGCAACAAGCATAGGGCGGTCGTTCTTTCAGCAGCTAATGCGGCCAAATGCGGTTCCCACATCACAGGCTCAGATCACGGAGCCAAGATCTGACACCTGAATAGACAGATGCAGAACCGTGTCCATCCATTCAGAAAGAGCAAGACCTTGACGGTGTGACTTAGGCCCTATCAGGTACATGCCAGAAACTCACTGAAAGTTTGAAACCAACAACCTTGATGTCCAGCTGAACAAAAAAAAAAAAATAGCCGTTCATCCAATGGTAGAGAACTGAAACGGTTTCACCCAGTTCACCTGACACTGCAGTCACAGAGACCTGTGCCACAACCCTGTACATTGATCCCGTGTGCTAAGTGAGATTCGATCCCTAGACCTACCTTATACCTGTACATAGACCCTGTGTGCTGAGTAGGATTCGATCCCTAGACCTGTTTCACATCCCATATTAGTCTGTAGTTTGGGCAGTAGGACTTGATCCCTAGGTCTGTAGATTAGCAGCTAGGTCTGTTACCGCTAGGCTTAGGAAGTCTGTTTTAGAAGTCTCTACGAAGTCTGTTGGGGATTGGAATCTGTCTGTAAGTCTGTATAGTCTAGAAGGTCGTAGGTCCCTGTAGGCCAGTCCAGTCAGCAAGTACCAGGGGTAAGGGCTGCATGTGGGGAAGGTTCTGGAGCACGCTGTGGGTTTCACACGTTTTGGCCCAGAAGGCCAAACGTCTGGAAACTTCCATGGGCCACACGTTTTGGCCCAGGCCCACACGTTTTGAGGCAGGGCCGGGTACCTCCAAAGAGGTATAAATAAAGAGGCAGCGTCCAGCCATTCATTCATTCGCCTGTGAGCCATGCGGAAGAGCTGCCTTGGTATCTTGTGCGTGGAGGTCTGCAGGTGCCCGGAGAAGAAGTGGGCTGTGAAGAAGACAGCGGCCATAGCGAACCAGCAAGGGAGACACCCGAGGCCATAGCTAGAAGGAGGAAGACGACGGCGGCCATAGCCGCCCAGCTGTTGGTGTAGACAGAGTGAACAGAGTGTGAGTGGCTGTGCAGCGTGGACATTCAGGGTGATCCTCATACGTGCATGCATGTGAGAGTGAGGGAGAGTGAGGCTGGTGGTAGAGACAGTGTTCGGCGGCCATAGCCGCAAGTTGTACAGTTGTTCGGAACAGAGTTTAAGAGCAAGTTCATTGTTGTTTCTGAGTTGGAAGAGTTTGGTTTGCCATCGGTTCTCAAGTGTGCATGTTGTGAGCAAGTCCAGAGTTGAGTCTGATTGCAGAACATAGTTGCGGCGCACCTCGGTGCGCAGATTTGCGCACCGCGTGCACCGCACCGGAAAAAATTAAGGTCCAAAGAGAAAAACAAAAGCAGGAGTTTCGTAATTTCTTACTGCCACACCCTTGGCCCAAAAAAAAAAATTTGTGCAAGGGATGCCGAATTTCGAATTCTGCAGGCCCCTCCCCCCAAAAAATTTGAAATCGGGGATCATAAACATAGAGCTCATTTCAGTGTTCTTTTTTAGGCAGGGTGTGGTAACTGGCCTTCCCCCTCCGTCTGCAAATTCCGCACAGTGGTGGATGAATTAGCGAAAAGGGTGTAATTGCCCAATATTGTTCTGCTCCACACTGTCTCGCAGAAGTCACAAAATATGTTTAATGAGGCCAGCCGACCACCAATATATGCTGAAGATTGGCATTCAGGTCTGCATGTCAGCTGTTATGGGTTAAGGATGAAGATGCCTGTAGCTCTCTCGTTTTTCTCTTTTTGTTTTCTTATGAATACGTACAGCGGCCCAAGGGGCCTCTCTCCACTACTCACCACACGCACAAAAGACATACATATGGTGAGTTGTAGAGCTAGGCCCTGAGAATCACGTGGAGTCTAGCTGAATTCGTGACCCATAACTGCCCACCTACAGACCTGCACTTGAACCCACAGCATATATTGGTGGTCTGCTCCCACCTCTTCCATATACGACGCGGCCATCCTGCTTGTTGAAGCAACGGTCCTCAATGGCTCCATAATGTCCAAGTGTATTGTCAGGGCCATTTGAGTTACCTGCAGGGGAGCCTGAATTGACTTACAGGGGGCCCTTTGGTCTCTCTCTCTCTCTCTCTGTAATAACCCTGTTCAGAAGTAGCCTGGGGCCCAGAACTCAGCCCCAGGCCACGCAGACCTGAGAAGGTCTGCACTGGGCTGAGTGACCAAAACACGCCCAGGCCTGAGTCTGTCGAGTATGGCTGTGTGACCGAACGCTGCACACAGGAAATTCAAGAGTCAAAGTCAACTGCAGAGTCAAAGGTACCGCACCCAGGCCCTGGGTTGGATACACTCGCTTGTTGTGCGCAGGTACCCAGACAGCATCCAGGCCGGAGGGAATTTGTTTCAGGCCGATCTGAGCCCTCATTCGCATTGAGATCTGGACGGCCGAGGGATAAAGCAGCCGGGGTCCAGACCCCGCCTCAACACTACATAAGAGTTGACATCCTGGCTTTGACATTCATTCTGTCTTGCATTGATGCTGACTTCACGCATTGACTTCGACGCTGGCTTGACGCTGCGACGCTGGCTCGATGCTGCTGGCATTGTGACTTGGCGAGGTGCTGCTATTCCGGCATGGTGGCTGGCTTGCTCCTGTCTTCTTGGCCTGCTGACGTGGCAGCTGCCATGCACCTTCGCTGATGTGGCTGCTGCCACGTGTATCATGCTGGCGTGGCTGCTGTCCACGTGTTCTGTGACTGGGACTACATACTCGGCATTGCTGTTCTGTTCGTCGTTACTTCAGGACGAGATCAGGCTGTGGGGGAGTTCGAGGATACGTACCTGGTGGTCTTCATGTCGACATTGCTCCAGATGCTGATGTGGAGTTGATTGGACGTGCCACGTGGGACATTGAGGATACTGTTAGACCACGCTACGCGTGGTGGCGCAGCCAGGGTCTTTGTTGTAGTCATGCCGAGCCCGGGTGTTGCGCACCGATGG